ATACATATAAATTATTAGTGCGAGTCATCCAATTATAACTTTGGTAGTTTCACTGCTGGCTGCTAAATGGAAAGATGAGCTTTTAATATTAATTACGTGGCTTGGAGATTTGTGTAAAATATCATGGAGCAGCAGGAGAGTCAGAGAGTGGCGAGGTGGACGAGTGAATTAGTGTTGTATAAGCTTAAGCATGTCTACGACAAAAAAATACCCTTAACAGGGGTTCAGAAATCAGTGAAATCAGTCGGTAAGATCTAAGAGAATGGGCCAGGAGCTATGAATCGGCATTTGCAAACACCAATAGGTGAATACCTACATCAATGTACTCCAACATACCTGAGTGTGGTTCAAGATTTCGTGTTTAAGGCTAGACTTCCTTGAGTGCCTAACAAACCAGGCTGTTGCTGTTAGTGGTCCAGGCCTACACAGCAATCACACCCTGACTAATGTGGCATTTACCGAAGTAACTGGCGCAGGAAAATGCTACGTAGTGTCCGTAGGGTGCCAGGTTATGCTGCACCTTGTAAATATTTCAGTATGAACTGTAGATGCAGCCAGGTGGGGCAATATTATCACACACTGATGTTGCGACGCTTTTAAACAACGTACAAAAACCAACGTCGGCACTTGAGCAAGTTATTAGCCTCAAACCTACTGCTCTTTAAATGACTTCTCTGTATATGTTCCTTGGAGTTAACTTTACACAGCAGTTCGTCCTGGCATCGTACATTACGAGTGTTTGGTTTCCAACTAATTAGGCCACGAGGGATTATTGTGCGTTTAGCCTGCAGCCCTTACCATGCTCAGGTTTTGTAATTTGGTTAATAAACCAAATTACGCAAATTTAGGTTCATTAACGTTAAAGTGGCGCAACGTAACCAGTAATAAATTATTTTATTGGGGGCGAATAATTACTGGGAAATTCGTAGCTGAGAAGATTGCTCTCCAATACACGAACCTAATAATTTTTATATTAAAAAAAAAAAGTTAAACCTGTGTGGGTCATTTAGAGTTGCTTAGTAAAAATAGTTCTTTCGTTACGGGATTGTGGACTGACCAGTGTGAAAATTAAGTCACAATACAAAAGGTTATAAAAAAAAAGTCTGCAATAAAGGTGGGACTTTCAAAGACATGATGAGTCATAGTTAAGACACGTAAACGCTGATCAAGACAATTATCAAGGAAACTTTTTGCCAGGGGTAGTTTCTTCACCAGTGGCTTGTTACTGAAGCCACTTCTGAGGAAATCTTTCCTAATGTCTTGATCATCGTATAAGGTGGTTTTACCTCCCATCTGTTGGTACAGACATACGAGTTGCACCATGGGCAGTGAAGAGTCTGGAAAATATGAAGGTGAAGTCTGCGTAAGCGTGCTCGCTGAGGAACTGAACAGTCAAAGAACAGATGTTTTACTTTCAGCAGCACCTGTCACTTCAGGTCACTTGTGACGCTGGTAAAATAATGAAGTTATTGGTGAAAACTTGCTATGGGGTGAACAAGGTCCCAAGACCGAAATGTTTTCCTAATAAAACGTTCTAAATGTTTGTTGATTTGTCTTTAGTCACGAAAAGTGATTATTGGATAGTCCCTATATTTCTCCCTTAACTGTTAGTAATAATTTATCTTCAATTTGTAGGTTTCTAGTCAATTTTTTTCAGCCAGAGAACTGTGACTATACTTGAGCTCCACTTTCTTGGATTAAGAGACCTTCACCAATGTTATGGGTTCCCCGTTGAAAGAACCCAGCTAGGTAGTAGCAATACACAAACCATCCTCTAAATAATGAGTTCGTTTTAGTACGCGTTACAATGCAACGATTTATTCACGATTTCAACATGGACACAAACTATATATAGTTTACTGTAGGGAAGGTAAAATTAACCTAAATTAACTTTTATTTTCGTCGGGTCAACCTTCAAAATGGACATAAACGAGAGTCTTAAGTCTGGCATAGCGGATAACACCGTCACTGTTGGTTGGCTGATCTTTCTCAGTAGGACGGGATGGGTTAACAATATACTGTACCTCTTAATTCCATCTCGAGCACTTAGTTAAAAAAATGTTCAATATGTGAACACAACGTTCAATAATGGCATTTATTAGGGAAACATGTTATGATGTAAAAAAAGACATTCTTATTATTATCAAATGCATGAACAAGATCCAATTCATTATTTTACTGTTTTGATGATAATTACTATGACTACTATACAAGTACCTGTTAAATAGTGAATTTTTATAAGATAAAATACTAAATATCAGAGTCGACACACTACAGTACATTAAGTCTATGCAACTTGTATGGCAGGAGAGGGATGGGAAAGTTAAGAGTCTATGTTCTTAGAATCACCGTGACGTTGCAGACAATAGTGAAGATAAACGCCGCAGAAAAAAATGTTTATAGGGACAACGTGTAGCTGCAAGTAGAGCTCTGACTGAATGAAGAGTTACACAAACCAAAACACTGTCCCAATGAAATAATGTACCGTAGTACGTCTCTTGTTTTATACTGTATAAGATTTGTCACACTGCTTTTGAATATTGTGCTCCTTTGTAACAAGATTATTACATTTTAGCTTTAGACTTAATTGTTCACTTCTTCCCCTCACCTCCACACAGTTTAGTTCATAACAAATATGAGCTTATCTTTCCCAACCGCTGAAACAAGCAATTTAACGCTAAGGTACGCCAAT